TAATGAATTAATGTAAAATAAATGACATAAATGAATGAGATAAACGATTTACACAAAAAAGAAATACACAATTAACTGGTCATCTATGTCCGTGGCCGGTCAAATAATATTTGCACAGTCAATTGACTGTCGACTCGGACAGCGACTTTGCGATATGTACTTTACAATAAGAAATTATTTCTAAAAATTTATATAATTGTTCCAATTTAAAGTGACAAGAACTTAGTAGTGCATTTGTGAACAATGACTATTAGGACATAATCAGGAATATTACAATTACATTCCACTGAAGATGACACAAAACAATGAGTCGAAACGTATAGAAACAATAAAAATGTTATAAGTTCCTACAAGTTTTCAACTGATGTATTGCCCTGAAAATTGAATATATATATATATATATATATATATATATATATATATATATAACCAGATAAAGATTAATAAGTATTGTATTTTGCGAATAGGCGATTACGTAGATATCGAATCTAAAGTGCGTGCTGATAAACAATTAATTTTGTGCGTGATAGAGATGGGAAGTACAAGACAAGAGCATAAATGAGCGGTATTTATGATTCATTAAAATATTGGGAATTGAGTAATATATGGTAGCGTTATATAATTTCTCATAAAAAGGCAAAGTAAAAAGAATGACTATCTTTCGCATCTAAAATCATTTAAATTTTAAACCTTTCCCTATGAGTGTGTTTTCTGCGGGAGTGACGCTGCTGTAACGTACAACAAGCCGCCCAGTAGCGCTACTGAACGGACAACGATAAAAAAAAATAGAATTTACAGTAAGTTGACATAGTCATAATTCTTGAAGCAAAGAGCGATATACTGCCTGTCCTCTAAAGGTGACACCAGAATACACAGGTCGTCATGCGTGGGTCGTCTATAGACGTCGCTCGTAGTTAGGATTCAAATTTTTTTTGAATTTTTTTATTTTTCATTTGACAGCAGAATAAAATACGTAATTATTATACGTTTTTCTAATATGTAAGGCTAAAACATGTAAAAGTCTAACTTCTAGATTTTAATTGCCGTCTTTTTTAAAATTTATATAATATATTTTATATAATAAAAAAAACAAACAGTATTTTCCTCGTATTCAATTTTGCTACTAAAGAAATAGTATAATTTTCGCATTTGATAGACAGTAAATTATCATCCTGCAATTTTCATGTCCAATTAACTACCATATTAGTTGCTCAATGAGCTGAATTTATCCAACTTAATCATTTGCAAACATCAGTCAAGTTTTTGAAACTTTCATTAGATATAAAAAAAACTATATATTTTTCAAGCCAACGGATCAATTACATTTAGCAAGTGACTTTCTGTTATTAGCAAAAAAGGAATTGAATTTATCTGAAAAAAATTAATATAAAATATATTGCATCACATACTAAAATAATTATTTATCCCAATATTATTTCCAACCCACATTGAATTATTTAATACATTCATTACAGTAGCGGATGCTTCCACATCGTGAAAATATATAAAAGGCAATTTCTTCTCTAAAATGCATACTGTAATAATTTATAAGTTGCATGTTGCAGTTCATCGTGATATACCTGTTCCTTTAACGTCTGCAAGAAATTATATTTTGCTGCAGGATAAATAAATTCTATTTTTATTTCATGTGCCTCGAGTAACTTTTTACCTTAGTATAGTATTATAGTTTGAATCTCATTTTAGAGAGAGTTTGAACACAGGTTGCCAACATGGTAATTTATAGGGGCTCAAACAAATAACGAACCGAAATATAATATTTAAAGATATGATAAATATAATGGATACCGATTATTCAATATAAAATAAAATCAAGTGCAATTTGTAATTTAAGACGGACTTTCTAATCTTAGAGAATTGCTGATAATTACTATTATAATGTAAATACATTACTATACTAAAGGCATGAGTCAATGGAATTATATTTTGCTGCAGGATAAATTAATTCTATTATTTCATATGCCTCGAGTAACTTTTTACCTTAGTATAGCATTATAGTGTTATATTTTGGAATATCAAAAACCAATAATTGTTAAATTTTCATACGTTTGAGTACTATTTGAATTCTTTATCATACTGAAACAAATAAATGCATAAAAGTTTGCAAAAACTTTTATAAGCAAACATTAATTTATTGAACATCACTTCGAAGATTATTAAACACAAAAATAAAATGGTTTAATAATATTCAGTGATATATAATTAATTACAATTTTTTATATAAAAAATGCTGAAATTAAAGCTGACTTATTGTGAAAATGAAAACTAAGAAAAATCTTACATACTCGGAAACAAATTTTCTTCACACTTTTTTGTATTTTAAAATTTTATTGAAGTTATTGAAGTATTTTTTTGAATCTAGGTAATTCAAATAGAAGGGTTAACTATTAATTGAGGTTATAACGTTTACAAATTAATTAAAAAACTCACGTCTTGATAACCCAATTTAAAATCCAAACCATAATTCGCCCAAGTCGATCAATACTTCATAGATGAATTTGGAGCATTATCGAATGCAAGTAAGCTCCGCACAACAGCTACTCGCAAATGCACTATTCAATTTCAGTAAAATAGCCCAAAAAACATGTCTAGAATAAAGTTTTCAGCGTACATTCAACTCAGCATTGCACCTGGTGTTAATAATTTATGCGGCTAAATATAAACATGAGTCGATAATATAGTAGTCAACGTCCTTTGTGTGTTATTCAGAGCTTATGTGAAATTTTACCTTAAACAGCACGCGAAATATTCGTGCAAATTTTCATTTGAAAGAGAACTCTAATTAGCATATGTGTTGTCTAAAAAAAATCTTACTACAACAATGTGTGTACAAATATGGACTTCGTGAATGCTCCACTCGCTATCACTTTCATCTCTTAGAGTAGATGAACGCGAGAGATACACATAAACAAACAAGCTTGATGCAAATAGAGTCCATTTAGAATAAAGCATTTAAAACATGTTCCATAATAATATTTTATCAACAAGACAGATGTCATTTTTGACGCTTTGTCGGTTGAAATAAGGAGCATAAATTCAGTTCAAACACACCTGCTGTATATTTGCACTTGGAAATTCAAATCTTAGTAGTAGTAGTAGTAGTAAAAAAAGGACAATGATTTCCATTTCTATCAAACTTCGATCTTTTCACACTACATTAATGCTTTAACATATCAAATTGTTCGATATTGTTTCTAAATCGAAACTGTAAAATTATGAGCTTAAGTTCATATGCAAAACTTTAGCCAATACTTAACAGAGAAATCCCTAATATTATATAAGAGTTACAAATGTATGCTTTTTTGTCGAAAATTTTGTTAATGTTGTTCATTAAAAATTCATTAATTGATATTTTATTAATTGTTTCCATTTCTACCATTCTTAGAGCTTTGCACACTATACCTACATTAATGCTTTAACATGTTCAATTGTTCAATATTGTTTATATTGTTTCTAAACCAAAACTGTAAAATAAAATTATGTGTAAGTTTATATAAATGAGGTTTAGCTAATTACTCCTACAAGGAAGACTGGGTACGATTGTGCCTTTTCTTTTTTTTATTAACAATAATTTTGGAAACATGATAATAGTGTCCTTAAAAACGGCGAGTAGGTTAAAAAACTATAGCTATAAACACCAAAACGGTTTATAACGACTTTTATTGTCAGAAATATGTAACAACACAACATGATCATTCAAACAAAGCTTATGAATATATAGTAGTATATAACAAAACAATTTCTTAAACAAAAAATCTTTTATTTTCTTGTATTGAATTTTCCTTTCCCTTCCTCTTTCATATTGTGTCTTATAATTAAGTTAGATTTTTCTTTATCTGTTTAATATTCGCCAGAAAACGAAAAGAAATACATATCACATAAAACAAAATTAATTGCTGGTAATCAACTCGTCATGTTACTCAACTTACAGTAAAGTAACAGTTTTATTAAATAAAACGAACAAAAAAAATTTACTATTGACTCTTTAAAAGCAACGCGGTTTAGAGATCATGTTAATGTAGAGCGCTGACTTAATACAATAATGGAAACTTGTTCGAACTTACATACCTTCATATTTCCGTTTGGACACTATCTTATAATCAGTATTGTTTGGCTGTTATGATGACTATCAAAATTGCACTTCGCCTCTCCTACTTCACATGAAACACATGTGTGTTTTTTGTAAGTCGAAAATTTTGTTTAAAACATTGTTCAATGTAGTAATCATCAAGTATCTTATATAGATATATTAAAATTGTGTAGCATGAACGTAACATGAAATACCTATTCATCATATAAATGCTCTGAAAATAAACACGCTCACAGTACTGGGTACAAAAATTATAGATTACAATAGATTCTTTTAGACTTGTTAATTATTATTGCATATGAGTTATGTAAGATAAGTCTAAGATAGGATAGCAAAATGTTTCATTACATATGAATTAATAATAAAAATTGAATTGTTGTAAGTAATATAAAAAAAAAACTATGCCGAGCTATATCAACATATAATATGTTTTTAGAAAATAAGTGAAATGTGTCAAAGGGTAAATTTGCCATATTTTGCAAATACACCTCGGCATCCAAAATAATATAAAATTGGTCTAACGATATCGAAAAAAAATTTGAAATCGAATATAGATTGAACATATAGATACTACTTTTAAAAATAGCGTATTTCTACTCTGTAATAAATAATCTCACCTTTGAATCGAGAAGCGGTATATTACATACCGGGAACTATGAAAATAATATATAAAAAATAAACAATCGGCATCCTAAAACAAATTGTAAGTAGGCAGCGATGAACTTTTCAATTAAATATGGCTTGGGAAAACTTTCGTATATGCGGTGCCATAAACTTATTAAACTTTGCGTAATACTTAAGAGAAAAAAACTAGAGCCAAATCCTACCATAAGCTTGGCAACTTGAAACATGATAAACTTGTATCGAAAATGGTTCGGTCTGAAATAGCTGAGATCACAAAACATAAAAACAGGATTTTCTTTGTAAGCGTTTCTTTTTATTTAACGTTCTTTAGCATTATACTCCAGCGTCAAATGAAGCAATTTATTCGCAAAGTATATTTATCCATGCAACATTAAATTAACAAATATACATATTGAAAACAACTAATCGCAATTAAGTAAAATTTTGTCATTCTGTAAAACAAAAACTAAACCTAATACTAGTAATAACAAAGTAAAAACCAATTACAAATAAAGTATTACTCAATTATTTCTTTCTCCTTTTCTTCGCCCTCCAAAAATTTATCCCAACCCTCCAAACGTTGACTTATCTCTGAGTCGGTTTCTCCAATTTTGAATTTTGTTTTACCGTCCCAGATTTCTGCTTTCAGTTGTCGTTTATTGAACCACCTACCGTTCATCAAGGCGACAACGGCGTCAGCTTGTTCGGGCTCAGCCATAGTTATTTGGGCAACTCCTTCTGGATGCCTATCATATAAAACCACACGTCTAACTTCTCCAAGTTTAGAACACTCTTCTCGCAAATCTTGCTGGAATTCTAAAATTAACTCAACGTGCTCATCAAATAGTTTCGGTTCGAATAAATTACGTAAAATGACAATTCGTTCGTGCTTCGAACGTTCTCCGCGCATTTTCTCTGGACGCCAATCGAAAAGCTTTTCCTTCATTTTCTTTTGCTTGTCTTTGTCCTTTTTGCGCGCCTTCTTTGGCTTCAGAGCAGGATTATAATCACCCTTCATTTCAAATTTAGCTCGTTGCACCCCAATACGATGACCCCGTACATCTGAACCATCCAAAAGGTTAAGAGCCAATTCAACAGATTCTACTCTTATGTACGTGCAAAGAGCATCTCCTTTTGGATAACCATTACTGTCCATGTAGATTTTCACTTTCATTTTCTGAGTTTTAGAATCACGCTCAACAAGACCACACTTAGACATGACTTCTACAAATTCCTCTTCCGTGATGTCTTCTGGTAAACCAGTTACGTAAACCTTTGTATTTTGTTCATTAGGTATATCAAACCATGCAGGTTCTTGTGCCGCAGGACGTTTTTTGCCTTCTGATGCTTTGTCGGAAGCTTCTTCCTTTGTCATTTTTTCTGCACCAGATTTACGACATTCCTTTGGCTCATTTACACTAGTTTGTTCTGCGTTACTTTCTGGAGGATTTACTCCGTAACTAAGCTGATACCTAGCCATAAACTCATCATCTACCTTCGGGAACCATGCAGATTTTTCTGTGTCCCAAATATAAACGACACCCTCGGCATCGGTGTAAGTATGATGATCGCCCTCAAATCCATATTCACCCTGTTTAGGCACAGAACTATCGTCCGTTGAAGTGTTCGATTCAGCCACTCTGGAAACCCATTCATTTTTATCATCATTCCAAACATATTGGTAAGAGGTGCTAGGATCAGTGTATATAGCTACATTATTTTCATAATGGATATGCTCAGTATAGTTATCTTTATTGGATGTACTTCCTGATGTCTCTTCATTGCGCTCGGGATCTTCAGTAGAATCCTTTTCTGCTTGGTCATTTGAAGGATCTGGTGGTGCTTTGTCTTGTTCGGTTCTAACAGAATCAGTAGTACATCCTTTGTCAGTTGTCTGTTGAACGGTTTCGGAAGTAACTTCTTCCTGCGTTTCTGTACTAGCTGGATCGTTTTGCTTTCCAATCGATCCCTCCAAGGACTCTTTCTCCATTTGTTTCGTATTCCTTAAAATATATGTATAAGCATATATGTACATATACATGTATATATGTATACATACAAAAATATATAGATGCATACGGACAAATATATACATGTCTCGTGCATTTGTGCATGCACGGACTACATTCATACACACACATATTCATGTATATATTGAGCCTACATGTATTTATATAGCTATATATTGTTGTAGATTCATATGTAAGAATTTATGATTTTTATAAGCATTTTGGAAAAGGTAAATGAAGACGTAACCGCGAAAGATGTAACTATTGTTGAATATATATTTCTAAACGTCGTACTAGTTGTTTAAAGCGTCGTAACATAACTTATACAACATTTATTTGGATTTAACAATTAAATATTTGATTTTAACCAATGATTATTAGGATTCCGATATTGAAGACATTTAAAAGTTATATTTGTTTTAAGACCTGATATCGCATATTATGATTATTATTAATGGTTTAAAAGCAGTAAAAATAACGTAATAGAAGCCTTGAATGACTAAGAATCAATAAATGCGCTATTTTCGTCACCAACGCTTGATAACAAGTACAGTAATAATCAGCTTTAATTTGACTTTTACCACATATGTGTATGTGTATGTTTAAAACTATTATATTAAAACATTTCAAACTTAATCAGATTAATTTAATCCTTAAGTTTATGATTGATTGCGAGCAGAGCGTGTTGGCGAAATCCATTAGTATTGTGATTGGATCGATGATTACGACAATGACTCAGAATGTGAGGTGAAGAATCTTTAGGGACAAAATTACCAGAAAAAGAACAATGGAACCAAAAATATAGCTGAACGAATAATTAATATAGCTTAGATGATCTTTGTGTTATACGCATATTTTTCAGGAACATAATAGAGTTTGTCAAGAACTGCTTAAAATCATATACCGTTGTACAGTGCACCATTATTAACCACGGAACAACCGCGAAAGACCTTGCTGTGGGAAGATTGCAAAAAATCATTCATTTTGCTAGCAAAACAATAGAGGAAAGTCGTGTGAGAAGCTACCATTTTAATAGCAGCTATTGCGATAGTAAATCGATGTAAAGATAATAAACATTCTCCTCAACAAGCTTGTTATACAACACAGACGGAATAACCGGCCAATAAAACGACAGGTACTTTAAAAATATGTCTAACCTCTCTGGAACTATATTTAACCTTTACTGATTATCATATACGTTAAAAACTATCATAAAATTGTAAATAATTCAGTGGAGTTTTATAATTTTACAAACCAAGAATAAAAAATATAGAAAGGTCACAATCTATATAAAAAATATAATAATACTATAATAATCACTTAGCTAATAGAGGTAAAAAATGGTGTAATAACTGTAAAAATGGTGTAACTTTGATTGCTAATTATATCATGGTATATATTTTACATAGTTTTTCATCGAAGGTAAAATAGAAGGACTGAAAGGAATGGGAAGAAGAATGCAGATGATTGATGATTTAGACGAAAAGAGAAAATACAGGGAACTGAAAGCCAAAGCACAGGTTCAGGAAGCATGGAAGCAGAAGTTTGGGGAAAGTGGAAAAAAATGTATAAAAATGGAGGAATGCTGGTAACGGAAATGATAACGAGGAAGGGTAAGGAAATAATTGATTTGTGGTAGCTCTTACACCAGGGACCTGCCTTCGGGCAGACTACCATCTATTTTATTATTATATATTATTTTATACATATAATTTTTAAAATTATTATAATATATTTTACTTAAATATTATGATAACACTTTAAAGACCATTGCAATTTAATCGCAATACGAGTTTTTTTGGTAAAATCGAAAAACTGCTGGATGTGAATTTAATGGATGGCCATCAATAAATCCCCTATTTCCTTTAATTTTTCTCATTGAAAAAAAAAACTAATATATTATTAATTACACAATAGTTTTATGATTTTTAGGTCCTAGAGGACTAGGAATATTGAAGTTGGTCTAAACTGATGGCAAGTGCTGCATCCAGTTTATTCATCGAGCATTGTTTAAATAAATAAAAATATAACGATGTGCAAATTATATTATTTCATTAATAATTTCGAATAGCTTACGATGTATGCCAACAGCTTTCTTGCTTAAACAATAAATAAATTTGTATTTCGGGCATTGTTGAATCTAATGAAATTTCTCATTACTTTTAACGCAAAAAAGTCACAGATATGCGTCATTAATAAATCAATAGTCCTTAAGAAATCGATTCGTTTTTCTCACAGTGATTAGCATAATATTCTATATCTAATCGCAACGAACTGCTGAAGGATGTGCGCAAATATATATGAAAAGTAATAATAATAATAATATGAAGACGCTTTTATAAGATATAGTTGACTAATGGGCAGTTAAAGTCGCTGATTTATCAATGAAGTACTATTTGATATCTCGTATATAGGTACTTAAGCTATAATTATGATATAATTCTGTTAGACATCCACTGTTCAATTGAGAAATAAATATCAATTTTAATAATATCACAAACTATGGTGCAGTAGAATCCAGTCCAAAGATATGAGTAGTAAAAACAGTTTTTTTAAAAAAAATTATACATTAATGTATAAAAATTCATAATGTTAATTACCATAATGAAGCGCGGCTCGATGTACCGTAGTAACTTATGCGTGCATAATTTTCTGCACAATTACATTATTTATACATAAATTTTACATAAATTTAAGTATGGCTCCATGTGTAGAATTGTTACGATTACATTGAAATTAAATAATTAAAAAAAAATACATTAAAAACGCGAAAGAAATAAAACTGTGAATATAGAAATGACAAATATTATAATGAGTCAGAAAATTAAATACAATTCTGAGGCAGGATAAAAATGGTCATCTGCATGATCTCAGTAAGAACTATTTGTGGTATATAAAAATCTTATAGATTAATTAAAGAAAAAAATTATTAAACCAAACTCAATTTAATTGGAGCATGTTAAGTACTAACATAATTATTACTTGATGATTATCAACTAAATTTAAATAAGCTATACGTAAATCGAACATATATAATTAATTTATAAGTCTTGAACAGATGTAAGGTCTCTCTCATTTACAAATACAAAAATAGAGAATAGTAAGATTGAGATGGAATTCGGTTCGAATTTGATAACTACAAAGTTATTCTAATATGTATTCTAACATATTACAAGATTCCTGACCAAAATCTCACCAAAAGTCTATCAAATTCTAAATTAAAAATAACGTTAAAACAGAAATAGAAAATAAACACAAAACTACAGAATTAATAGAACTACAGAAATTTAGTAGCTGGAAAAACACAAAATGAAATCTAAAAAAAAACCATAAAAGCATACTATAAATAAAGAATCATCTAATCTAATCTAAGAATCTAAATTCAGATCCTTTAAATTTTTAATGTGTTAGTTGAAGTGTATACTTCATTATTATCACTTGTAAATTATGTAGGTGAAATAACATAAAAATACAAACAAATAATGACAACTTCTGCTGGCATAGGATAAAAAAATATCGTATCAATGATACATCATATCCTTCATAAACAAAGCTCTAAAAACTTGCGGCATATTCCTAAACTCTCAAAAAAAGCTCTAAAAATTTCTCAATGAACAGAAAGATTGCGCATCAAATACCAAAAGCAATATACGAATTCATGATAGCATTGATGATTGATTAAATAAATGCGTATTAAATTTGATAATATAATCAAAAATATTAAAAAAGTAGATAATTAGTCGTGGCAATGTAAATATTTAAATTAGGTAAAATTGATTGAGTAGTGGGTGCAAAATACAACTTGCATTAAGTGGCCCATTCTATTGTAAAATAGACCAATGTTTATGGCAAAGCTACGTTACGCTGTGTTTTTCATATAAAATGGTACACAAAAAATGAAACTTAACTCATTATTATGCCACATCACAAAGATGCACTTATGATAAGATTCTTTCTTTTGGCGCATGTGCGTTTTCTAGGTTAAATTTTCTATTTAAAACGCCTGGTTGCACAGCTAATACATAGCATTTTGACAGTTTTTAGTACCATTTTATATTGGAAACGCTATCTAACAAAGTCTTCCCATAACATTGGTCTATTTTACGGCAGAATTAGCCCATAAATTAATCAACGAATATCATCAATCAACGAATATCATCAATCAACGAATTAATATATCAATGAATAAATAACATAATCAAATATCTATCTAGCACAATATATGTATTTATTGAATTCTCGACACATAATTCAATATTAATGATTTAATTTAATCATATAGATAATTGTATTTTTTCCTACAAATCCATAAATACATATAAATAGGCAGTCTTGTGTTAAGTCAAATTGTGCGTGCCACACGCAAGGGATCACACATAACCGTAAACGACGGACGTAACATGAAAATAAGTCTTTTATGACAAACATATGAAGTGGATATACTTCACGAGCTTCCGATTGCCTGATAATGAATCGCGTCTTGTGAGGAGATATTTAAAAATTATATTGCAGTATAATCTCAAAGATAATTATGTTCGACCATTTTTTTAATTTATCTACGCAATTATTAATATGTTCCATAGTAAAAATAGCTCTTCGAGGCATTGCTGCAATAACCCTATTATGGCGTTAATTACCTCAATTCTATCCCCGTCGTGTAACTTCCTTTACAATTACTACACTTTTAAAAAACTGTTGTGATCTGTAATTAATGGATAAATGATGAACGACGATCAATATATAATATTAATTTTATTTATTAAAAAGATTTCAGTAACTTGTATGCGCAAAGTTTAAATATGTGCCTAGTTTCGCGACTAAATGAATGCTACCTTGAAAATTTAGAATATAACATAAAAATTATCAATTTTTTTTATAGTTTTATTTGAACAGCGATCAGAACTTATGGGTTCTATGAGCTGTTGTGACTAATATCTTACAAACTACGTTTGCTTTTATTACAGATGGCAACCCAAACAGTTGTCACATCTCTG